GGGCGGGGGGGGGGGCCGCGCCGTGCCCGGCCCGCAGCCCCCCGGCGGAGCAGGGTGCGAGCAGGGCACCCCCCGGGCGGAGGGGGTGAAGCCGGGGGAGCCCCCCGAGGGAGGAGGGGAGCGGGCGAGGGAGGAATGCTGCCGGAGGGCCAGGGGATCTGCCCTGGCTGCTGCACCCCGCTGGGAGGGGGCTGTGCCACCTGCCTGGGGGGAGGGGAGGGAAGGTGAGTTGCACGAAGCAAGTGGGGGGAAAAAAAAAAAAAATCTTGCTGTATTTGCCTGTGCTGGACTGCCTTTCCACACCTCTCTTCGCTTTCTGCCTTTGCTTTCCAGCCTCCTCCCGCGGAGTGGTGGCATGGAGGTGTGGGGGTCACTGGCAGCCCTCTCCTTCCTCCTTGTCACTTGCTAATTGTGCAGCCACGGCGGTGCACGGTCCGCGATTGTTAGGAGGGAACGTGGTTCTTAAATGCACTCGCTTCTGGGACTGGAGTTGTCATTGGGTAGGTGAGGAAATGAAATGTTACCTTCTCCAGTAGCTGGTTCTGGGTCTAGGTGTGTTAAGGGAAAAAATCAGATGTTTTCTCTCTTCCTCAGTCTTTTGCTTAGGTATCTTTCCCTTCTCTTTGCTCTCAGGACATGTGTTGTGGTATGTGCATCCCAGGGTGCATTTTTTGGGGGTTTTGTTTTGATTTTTAACTGCCTTGTGTGCAACTTTCAGTCCTGTGGATGTCTTGGTACAGGTATTGTTAGAATGAAAAGATACGCTTCAAGATAATGTATCTCTTTGGTCTTAGTAGCATTATGTAAGTATCTTTAATCACAACTGAGTTGTGGCATCTTGTGCAGTAGAAGTGATTTAAGTCAAAGCGAGGGAAGTACTGTAGACATAAAGGATGTGAGGAATGTGCATTTTTATCTTTTCAGGGGATGACCTTAGCTGTATTGTTCTGGGAATGGCAACTGGCACATGCTTTGTTGACAGTGGTGTATGCGCGGTGAATCAAGAGAATGATGGTGGGGTATGTGTGTGCGCGCTGAATAAAGGAGAGGTAATGTGCGAGCATTGATTTGTGAAGGATGGTGTGGTGCACCTTGATTTGCCACCGTGCTGATTGACTGCAGCTTGATTGTTTGCATGTGGAAGTTGGGCGCTCTTTCTCTTGAGGTGACTGGTGTCTGTTAACAAAATGCATATTACAGATGCAGGACTACGGACGCTGGTGGGGTTAAAAAGGCAGTGGAGTAGGAAAATCTCATATTAAAAGCATCTAATATTTTATGGTAACAGATATTTTACACCCTTTACATGGGTCTAGTGTTCTCATCGGTACCTATTTGAAACCCCTTTATCTGTCTTTCTACCTGCATGTAAGATGCATTTTTTTCTGCTTTATAGAGATTAATCAAGCGCTTGCAATATGGTTGTTGTGCTGAAAGGATGAAGAGCCCCATCCCTGCCCCAGGCAGCCAACGCTTAAATTTAGATGTTGATAATGAAGTTGAGATATAGAGTAGACTCACAGTTTGAATGTGTAGTTAAGGGATAGAAATTTTGAAAGCTTTTTCAGAGAGTATTTGTTTAAAGAGAAGTGCAAAATCATGAACGCTTTTTATTTTTCTGACTAAGCAATTGCCTGTAATAGGATGTCAGAGACTTAAGATTTTATTTATAATTTTATCTAGTATTTGGCAATTAGTGTTTATAGCTACTTCAGCATTTATTTGCAGTAATGGAGATCAGTTGTATTTGAGAAGATCAGTAAATGCTAAACCACAAAACGTTTGTAATATTTGTAAAAACACCTTTCAAATCTTTACCTGATCGAAAGAGACTTTGGCATTATAGGCTATTGTTCATTTGTTTTAAAGGACTTAATTGATTATTATTTCTTCTCATCTAATACTGATACAGGAACTTTGATGTTTTCTGGAGAGTAAATTCTTCAGCAGTTTTGTATGAATGGTTAGGTATATATAGGAGCTAAATTATAAAAGCAATTTGTCAGGTTCTGTTGCAAGTGCAAGGTATTGGGATGTTCTGGTTTTATTCGCATTGCGAGAATCGTAGAACGTGGAAATTTCAGACTGAGAGGTGCAAGTTCATCTAAAGACAGAAAGTCTTTATACGTACAAGAAATTGCTTATAGATCGAACATGCTTTGTCTGGTGTCATACCACCTAGAGCATGAGATGTCCATGTAAGAACGACTTGGGAAGAGTCCTTTGAGTTCGTACAACTGCATTAAATAGATATTTTCAGTAAACAAGATCCCATCTTCCAGTCTTGGTATCGTGTGCCGTATCAGTGCCTAATGGGAGAGTGGTGTACCAACAGCATATCTGAGATAGGTATATTTAAGATGATTACAAAACTATGTGTCATCAGTGACCTATTTCTGTGGCACACTATAATATGCCTTATCAAAGAATAAACTTCTTTCAAACCCCACAAAAAAGAGAGACATAATTGGAAGGAAGTACCAACCAGTTGAGAAGATTGATATGTTCTCTAGCAATCTGATTCTGTGAATTATTATTGTATTAAAATATTTTATAACCATTCTCTTGGTTAAATTCCTATAGCACAGAGCAGCTGATCTCTTAATGTATTCTGCTGTGAAACAGCTCTCTCCCTACAAGATCCAGATCTTGGCTTCTAAATGGGAGATGAAGTAAATTTTAAAGAACATAGTTTTGTTTTTTAAAACAATATTAGTTTATATTTTGCTAAATATGTGCTATTTGTCTTTTCAGAATCTTATGATACCAAAGTTTGGGGTTTTTCCCCCACAATAGTTAGAAAAAATGTGGATTTTTATGTGGAGGTCATTTTATTATCATGAAGTTACACACTTTAAATATTAATGCAGTCAATGAGCAGATACTGTCTACAGTTGACATCACCCTGTAATGTCTTGAGCTTCCTCAAGCTGAGGAAGCATGGCTGAATTATTTCAGGCAGTGTTTTCCAATAAGAGTCTGTAGTTTTTAATCTGTTCTTCTGTGGATCTAAATGCCTAACTTCCAACTGTTTCCACTGTAAATACTAGGCTTACATATTTTAAAAACTTTGCAATAACTCCTCTATTGTATCAAAAGTCTAAATAACTAATCTCTGTTAACATAAAAGGATGTTTTGTCTAGAAGTGACAAATTTTATGCCTTTAAGAACATTTTAATAAATATACGACTTGTCCTTGAAGTTGCAAACTCTGTTTAAACACATACTCTTATAAGTGAGTAAGTGTGAGTAAAATTATATACCATTTTGGGTCTTTGCAGGATCTTCATTTTCAGTATTTTGAAAAGTGGGTGGGGTTTGCTTATAACTTAAGTAGAATTCATGTAGGTCTCGTAACTAGTAAAAGCATAACAGACAGACTTTCCTAGTTCAGTTGAAACATTCATTAGAACCTAAACTTCTGTATCTAATTTCCAAATTACCTTTGCAAATGCTTAGTTTTCCAAGTGATCTTAAATTGGTGATTTTTAGGTTGCTCCTCCCTCCTGAAAAACAATTGCATAGGGAGTGAAACTCTGGCTGTAGCTCTGGTGCCAGCAGCTTAAACTCATTAACACAAGCAGCTTGCATTAGTTTCCTTGACACTTTCAGACACCCTTCCCTGAGGAGGTTTCAGACTAGTAGTTTTCACTCAAGAGAAACATTTAGCCATGCTAAGCAACTACCAGCACTTTAATGCTGTACTGCTCTCTTGTTTGTGTATTTTTAAGTTTTGAAACTTGATTCTTTCAGTGGAAAAGTGATTTTAGGAATGTAATACGAAAAGCAAGTGGGCCTGCTTGAAGATAGGTTACTGGAATTAGATTCCATATTAACATTTGAGACAAAACCTGTTAAGCCAATTTCATTCTGTCCCAGGTACTAAATACAAGTGAACAGAAAGTTTTTCAGCTGGAATTTTGGAGGAATATTTGTGGTACCACTGCAAAGACAGATGGCCTGGTAGGATAAGGTAGTAGAGCTTTTTTTTTTTTTTTACAAGCAGAAACTTTTATAGTTGAAAATTTACAGACAAGCATCCATTGATCTACATACCTTCTTTTATGGGAATGTTGTACACAAAAAGTTGCAAATATTTGAGTTGAAGCATAGCTGAATCTTGCAGGTGCAGAAAGCTGACTAGAACTTTGCTTTTCCTATGGCTGACTAGTCTCGTGGAAGACAGTAAAAATCTGTTCTGGACTCCACAGTTGCTCGCAGGTCATGCTTATTTAAGCCTTTTTAGTGCTTATGTGATGAAAAGGGAATTATGGAATGTGTCTTAATAGTGCTGTCTGAAGACAAATTACATACAGTGACAACTGTGAATTTTAATAGTAGAAGGCAGATTATTTCTAACGAAAAGCCTGATTGCTGTTAGTGTCCAGTATCCTAACACGTGGCCAGTACTGTCAACTAGTTGTGTCACTGTAATATTTTTGGACATTTGCTTAACAGGAGTATTTATGTTTTCTAATTGATGCAGATATTTTTTGCCACATATGTTTTAAAGAAGCAGCTCTCCTTCCTGCTTATACTTCTGTAGGTTTCCTGGTTCTGTCCTTTCTAACAAATTACACTGTTTCGTACAATGATGGGAGCTCTATCCTTAATTCCAGTAACTTCCCCTTTTTTACTTTTCTTTTTCAGGCTAGCAAATTTGAGGTGTTTCTCCCATAAATGATGGGGTCAGATGCATTGCCATTCCTCAGTATATTTTGTATGCTTTCTCACTGTAGTAAATTCTCCAAGTTCCCTGTTAAGTGACATGCAGCGTGCTTAGATTTCCCGTGTTTTAAATGCATGTCCCTTTATGAGGGACTTATGTTGGGATAGGTGTTTAATGCGCTGTGACACCGGTAGGCTTGACATTATGAAAAGACAAGTTGTGGTATATAGATGTGACTAAAGAAGTCTTTAGCAGGGACAGAAACATATCCTAATAAATCTTCATTGCCCATGTCATGTAATAGTAAAAATGGCTGCTGAGAATCTCTAGTTTGCTTTATTGTAATGTGCATGTCTTGGATCATTCATTTCACACTTGCTAGCTGCAGGATAAAATCTATTAGTCAGAGTGAAATGCCATGCTGACTGCAGTTTAAAGGTCTGAGAAAAATTATGTCCTGAATTTATTTGCAACTTTTTGCCAGGCATTTTTATTTTGACACATACCTTGTTGCACTTTTCTTCTTCCACTTGTACCTTTCTGAACTGATTCCAATTCTTGTGTTTTCCTGTTTGGTGTCCCCTCACCTTACTCTTTCTTTCTTACACTGTTTTCTACTGCCTTTTTTAAACTTGTTTCCTAAACCAGTCTGTTTTCTTTTCCCTCTTTTAGATTTTCATAGCTTTTCCTCTAACCTGCAGGTTTCTTGATGAAGGATCCCGCCTTCTACTTATCTTTGATAAATTACCTAGCCCACTTACGGTGCTATAAAATCATTTAACATAATCTCTCCTGTGCACAACCGACTTCTATTATCCCACTCCAAGCAC